TGCCAGACGATAATTCTTGGGACTTCAATTTCAACACCGCGAATCAACGTGCCCGTTGCGCCCTGACAGTCTCACAGCATGCCGGAACACCATTCCTGCGATTTCGACCCTGCGAACCCTCGGGTCTGTCGCAGTTTTCTATGACGAGAGTGCGCGGCGCTCAGGCGAGAGCCACACTTTGAAAACCAGACGCCCTCCCTCTTTGAACCTGCTGCAATTTCTAGGCACGAGGGTGCGCGGCGCTCCGGGGAGAGCCACATCTTGAACCTGGGCCGCCCTCCAGCCTCGAAGCTGTCTGCATCTCTGTAAGACGAGTGTGCGCGGCGCTGAGGCCAGAGCAGCATTTTTCCTCTCCGGGGTCTCCAACTGAAAAGTGGAAGACGCCCAAGACGGCCCAAGAGGGAGGGCCCCAAGGCGGCCCCAAGAGGGGGACCACGAACCGAAAAGTCTGGCCTTTCGCCCCAAGAAGCCCCACGAGGCCCCCAAGAGGTTCCCACGAGCTGGTGATCAACGTGCAGGCGCGGGGCAATGGCCCCTGCGCCGTCGGAACGATGCCCGCTATTTCCAGCACTAGGCGGCTGCCTCATGCATGAGAATGAATGGTTGGGACGGGCACGACGTCGGAGTTCATGCCCAGGAGGAGCAGGCGGAGGAGGAGGTGGAGGAGGAGGAGGAGGAGGAGGAGGAGGAGGAGGAGGGGGAGGAGGAGGAGGTGGGGGAGGAGGAGGAGGAGGAGAGGAGGAGGAGGAGGAGGAGGAGGAGGAGGGAGGAGGAGGAGGAGGAGGAGGAGGCCTCTCTTGATTTCTCCTTTTCCATTTTCTCCTGCCCTCTTTCTTTCGGCGTTCGCCCTCGCCGCCCGGTCCCCTCGCTTCCGGGATCCCGTCGCCCCTCCCCCCGTGCCTCCGTGGTTTCTGTTTTCGGTTGCTCGTGGCTGCCATTTCGGTAGTCTTTGCATGCCGCTGCTGCTTTGTATTTTGCCGCGTTCGAGGCAATAGCAAATGAGATGCCTTCGCATGGTCGCGGGGCCACTTGGAATCACAGTTGGAGCCATCTTGAATTATGCTTTTGTGGACGCGTCCTCCCGTGCGCACCCGTGCGTCAACGGCCAGCCGCCTGGAGGAGGAGGAGGAGGAGGAGGCGGAGGAGGAGGAGGTGGAGGAGGAGGAGATGGCGGAGGGCATGATGATGATGATGATGATGATGATGATGATGATGATGATTATGATGATGTTGATGGTGGTGATGGTGGTGATGAAGGTGATGATGATGGGAATGATGATGGCCATCATAATGATGACAATGATGATGATGATGATGATGATGATGATGATGATATGATGATGATGATGATGATGATGATGATGATGATGATGATGATGATGATGATGATGATGATGATGATGATGATGATGATGATGATGATGATGATGATGATGATGATGATGATGATGATGATGATGAGATGAGGAGGAGGAGGAGGAGGAGGAGGAGGAGGAGGAGGAGGAGGAGGAGGAGGAGGAGGAAGGAGGAGGAAGAGGAGGAGGAGGAGGAGGAGGAGGAGGAGGAGGAGGGAGGAGGAGGAGGAGGAGGAGGAGGAGGAGGAGGGCTAGGGGTGGGGGGAGGGGAGGACGGAGGAGGAGGAGGAGGAGGAGGGAGGAGGAGAGGAGGAGGAGGAGGAGAGAGGAGGAGGAGGAGGCGGAGGGCGGAGGGGGAGGCGGAGGCGAGGCGGAGGGAGGCGGAGGACAGGGAGGAGGAGGAGGAGGAGGAGGCGGAGAGGAGGAGAAGGAGGCGGAGGAGCAGGAGGAGCAGGAGAGGAGACGGAGGAGGAGAGGAGGAGGAGGAGGAGACGGAGGCGGCGGAGGAGGAGGAGGAGGAGGAGGAGGAGGAGGAGAGGAGGAGGCGGAGGAGGAGGAGGAGGAGGGAGGAGGAGGAGGGGGAGCAGGGGAGGAGAGGAGGAGGAGGTTGAGGATTCGGATAAGGATGATGATGATGATGATGATGATGATGATGATGATGATGATGATGATGATGATGATGATGATGATGATGATGATGATGATGATGATGATGATGCTAATGGATGATGATGAGGAGGAGGAGGAGGAGGAGGAGGAGGAGATGGATGATGATGGTGATCTTGCTGCTGATGATGGTTATGTTGCTGCTGCTGAGGAGAAGGAGGAGGAGGAGGATGGTAATGTTAATGGGATGGTGATGTTAATGTTTATGTTGATGCTGATGCTGATGCTGATGGTGGTGTTAGCGGTGGTGATGGTGATGATGGTGATGAAGATGATAACAAGGATAGTGATGGTGATGGTGATGGTGAATGTGATGATGATTGTGGTGGTGATGGTGATGGTGATGGCGATGGTGCTGAAGCTGATGCTGATGCTGATGCAGGTGACGATTATAATGATAGTGATAGTGATAATGCTGATGATGATGCCGATGCTGATGGTGATGCTGCTGGTGATGATGATGAGGATGATGATGATGGTGATGAGGCTAAGGATAAGTATGATAATCATGATGATGATGATGATGATGCTGCTGCTGATGATCATGATGATGATGATGATAACGATTATAACGATGATGAGGATGATATGATGATGATGATGATGATGATGATGATGATGATGATGATGATGATGATGCTGATGATGATGATTATGATGATGATGATTCTGATGATGATGGCGGTGATGGTGATGGTGGTGATGGTGGTGATGAAGGTGATGATGATGGGAATGATGATGGCGATCATAATGATGACAATGATGATGATGATGATGATGAGGAGGAGGAGGAGGAGGAGGAGGAGGATGACGAGGAGGAAGGTGCATCTTTCGCAGATCCTTTCCGAGTGGGGAAGCACGTACTGCGACAGTCAGGAGCGCCGATCTGCACGACATGTCGAGGAGCGCGTGGAGGCGCAGTGGCGCTTAGCCGATGTGATCTAGAATCTTTCGGTGGCGAGAGCTCGCCGGCCTCCATGTGTTGCGTGCGCGTCTCTCGCTCCAGGATCAGCCGGCCGAGCGAAGAAGGAACGACCTTTTCACCCACGAGACGCGGAGTTTCAGCTGCGGCGGCCTCTTTGGGGCGGCCAGGCAAACGGCGCTGATGTAGCGCAGCATCAAGTTTTGGAGAGGCCTTTCAGAAGGCCGGACACCGCGGGGGAGGCAAAGAGCAGGAGGAGGGGAGGGAGGAGGCATGAGAAGGGGGGGAGCTGGGCGCGCTGGCGCCACATCTCACACCCTGCCCCTCCCACCCATCCCTCCCCACAGCGTTTACTGCTTTTTTGAGCCTGCCGACCTGGGCGTCGTCCTACGAGGACTCGATGCCCAGTGTGACCCTGCCCTGCGGCCCCGGAGGGCGGCGAAGCAGATGCGAGAGGCTCAGTACTGTTAAGCTGCCGAGGCAAGGATCCCTCTGGGCTCGGGCTGGGCTCTGGCCTGGGGTCCGGGGGACCGGTTCGTGGCCGGGCCTCGCCGAGGCCAGCAGCGTTCCTTCGTCCCCGTGGAGCGCTCCTCTTGGCAGCCAGGGCGCAGCCTGATGAGCGTACGTCCGCTGCTGCGGGCGCCGTGGCGCCTTCTTCCTCGCCCCCCCATCCGCTTTTTCCCTCTCCGTCGCCGCTCGCCGCCCTCTCTTGCCCATCGTCCCGCCTCCAAGGCCTCTCCGCCTTTTCTCTTTCGCCCGCCGCCCCAAGCCCCACTTCGCTCCTCCTCGCTCCTCTCTCCTCGCACTTCCTCCTCCTCCTCCTCTTCTTCCACCTCGCTCCTCCTCCTCCTCCTCCTTCTCGCTCCTCCTCATCATCATCCTCCTCCTCTTCCTCCCCTCCTCCTCCTCCTCCTCCTCCTCCTTCTCTTCCTCCTCGGTCCTCCTCTTCCTCCTCCTCCTCCTCCTCGCTTCTCCTCCTCTTCCTTCTCCTCCTCCTCCTCCTCCTCACTCCTCCTCCTGCTCCTCCTTCTCATTCTCCTCGCTCCTCGCTCCTCGTTCCTCGCTCCACAATTACTCCATATGAATACTACTCTCCCTCTTCCCCTGATGGCGTTCTGGGAGTAGTAGACCCCCCCCCCCGCGTACTGTTTTTTTACACAGGATTCCCGGGAGTTGGGTTTTCGCCTGCGTTTTTTTTCAAAATGCTGCTCTCGCTGAGGCGCCGGCTTCATTTCTGTTCCCGAATCGTTCCGAATCGTGCTCCCGCTGCAGCGTGGGCCTCATTTTCGGATCGGTGTTTTGCCTCCGTCGTTCAGGATGGCGTTCTCGCCCCAGCGCGGGCCTCTTTCTCGCGCGCCCATCCGCCCGCCACCACCGCGCCGCACCACGCCCCGCCCCGCCGCACGCACACCCACCGCCACTTCCACCCACCAACGCACGCACGCACGCACGCGCACCACCACCGCGCACCGCCACCACCACCGCACTACCCCACCCACCACCACCACGCTACACCGCGTCACACCACATCACACGCGCGTACACACAGACACACACGCACGCACACACACACATACACACGCACACACACACGCACACACACACACACAGACACACACACACACACACACCACCACCGCCACCACCACCACCGCCATCACGCACGTACGCACCTGTCCCACCACCAAACCACCAAGACGCCACACCACGTCACACCACAGCACACGCGCACACACGCACACTCACACACACGCATACACACCACCACCACAACAACCACAACCACGCACACACGCACGCACGCACGCGCACCACCACCCACTACGCACACGCGCGCGGAGCCACAGGTCCGCTACGACACGCGTCCGCGGATAGAGAAAATCAGCGCCATGGTAAGGGATGGGAGGGAGGGGTAGGATGTCAGATGTTGACGCGAGCGCACCGAACTTGTCCTCGTCCCCCTCCCCCTCCTCCTCTGGTCGGCTTGGGCCCCCCGCGACCAGCCACGCAAAACAGTCTTGCAATCACGGCCCTGCCCCCCCCCCACCTCCGGCGAGCTGGGACCTCGCCCGCATCCAGGAGAGCGTGGCCGCGCTCACGCAGGACGGGGTTGCCTGGTCGGGTCGGCCGGTGGGCGGGGAGCTGCAGAGGGTGGGGAAGTCGGGAATCTCGAGACGGGGGTCAATGCAAGCGGGGGGAGGTCAGCCAGAGCGCTGGATCTTGCAGGATCCTGCAGGGCCAGGGGTACATTTGACCCGGGCTTGCGCGCAGGATCCTGCAGGATCTTGCAGGATCCTGCAAAACCTGACTGGCCCGGGTTTGGATTGACCTGGGTCAGTCGGTTCCCGAGGAAGGCTTGGGGTCGGAACGATCGAAATAGGTGCGCAAATAATTCGCCGTTGGTGACGCCGCGGGCTGTATTCATCTGAGTCAGAAGGCTGCCTGCCCAACAGCGGCCGCTGTCGGTTTTGGACAACCTCTGTGGTCGGTTGGGCATCGTGCCCATTTTTCATCACCTATTTTGGGCGTGCACATGGGGGATTCCAAGGATGTCCGCCATCATTAACAGGGGATGCGTCGACCCCTATCCCAGGCTCTGTGAGGTTTTCGAGAGGATCAACAATTTGGGGCCCAACCCTGGGATATACGAGGGGGGGGGGGTCCATCCTCGACAGGGGTGCGTCCGAATAGCCCCCTCGGGATGTATCCCAAGATTCCTCCCCTTTTCTGAGCGACCAAACTTTTCTGGCGGAAGTCGGGGATTGGGGGAGAGAAATCGCCTGCGAATCATGTAGTGATAACAACTAGGCGTGCCCAGCTTCTGCCCTTGCGCTTGGGCTCGAGGTCCCTCGTGGTTCTGTCCAGGTTAACCTCGACGGGTCCTGGAGGCAGAGGGTGGGCACGGCCAGCTGATCCCCTGAGCAGGGACTGACTGTGATAGGTGCTTGAGCCACAATGCCATACACCTTAGGCGATGCTTAAGAAAACCTAAGTTTTCGGCCAGAGTCTCGATTATTCTTAACGTTTCAATGTAAATCCTAAGATTTTGATAGACATGTTGGGTTTTTATTCAAGTTCTGAGACCATGAATTTCTTAACCCATGATTTCTTAACCATTTCGCAGGGTGTATCCCCAGTCTGGGGGGGGGGGAAGTCCTGGCAAGGGGTCAGCAGGGCCACCTGGTCAGGGGCAGCGTTAGGGGTGCTGCCAGAGGGGAAGAGGGGGGGTGCGGAAGCTGCAGAGGTGACAAGTCAGACCCACGTGGATGGGGAGCCGCAGAGGGGGGAAGGCCTGGCAAGAGGTCAGCAGGCCGCGTGGTCACAGAGGCCCGATAGCTTAGCGGGCCCGAGAAAGGGCGGGGCCGCTGTTCCCCAAGCAGGCTTGCCTAAAGGGTTCTTAGTTGGTTAAAGGTGGGTGCCTCCTCTCATTACTTTGCCCGTTGCCCTGGGATTCCCCAGGTTCCCTGGGCTCCCCTGGTTCCCCGCCCTCGGCGTGGGGTTCCCCGCCCCCAGTGCCTCATGCCAAGCAACGCCAAGCAATGCCAAGCAATGCGAAGCAATGCCAAGCAATGCTCAGCAATGCCAAGCAATGCCAAGCACTGCGCCCATGCAATAGGAAACTTGCCCCTCATTAGGGTCGGGCCGGATTCATTTCACCGTTTTCGAGAAAGTATCTCTTGAACATGGAAACGGTAAAGCAACGGCGACTGGAAACGGCAACAATCACGGCTCGGGGATTGGAACCGGAACCAGAATTGGAGCCGGAAAGGAGACGGCGACGGAAATGGCAATCAAAAACTGCGATGGGACCGGCAAGAGAAACGGCAAAACGGGACTGGTAAAAAATGAGTTTGTCATTACCAGGGCCTATTCCCGATCGCCCACCCCGCTCGGAAGCGTGCGGAGTCGCCATCGGGAGCCTGCGGCCGATCTATCGGCGACGTATATTCGATTCCAGGTCGATGTTTCGCCCCCTGAGCCGGTCGCCTAGTGGTTTTCGGGTCACGGCGCGGGCTTGCGGCGGCCGTTCGGGTCGATCCGGGAAACCCCTGAACGCCCTCGGCGATCCGCGGCCGCCGGAGGGCATCCTGAGGCTGGAGCGCCGCCGAGAGGCAACGAACGCGTGCGGGAGCGTCGAATCTCGAGCCTCGACACTTTGGTTCCCCCCCCCGTCGTCTTCGCTGACCCTCACGCGTCACGCGGGGCTCAGGACGTGGACACGTTCCTGAGGAGGTGCCCCGACGAGCTGCCGCGCGAAGGCGCCGCCTCTCTTGCTCCCCTCCCACGTCCCTCCTTCGTCTCTCGCATATTTGGAGTCGGGAATCGACGTTACAGAATCGATTCACCCCAAAAATGATTGCTCATCGACTCTACGAAAGCTACGTAGCATGTTCCCTAGATCGACGAACCATTCTACGTATTATTCGCAAGTTCGAGGAGACAATCAATTTGGAGGTAGAGCAATCCTGTAGTCGATCCCCCACTCGAATCATCAGTGCTGTCCTGCCTCGCAGGGGCAGCCGTCCTGACCACACAGCTCGGTGACACCAGGCACTCCTGCGTCGCACAACGCCTCCTCCGCCTGCTCCCTCCCTCGTATGCCTGAAAGGGCTGAAGCTGCGTTGAACTGCCTCGCCGTCTCCTCTCGGCAGTTTTCCTCGTCGAGGAGGGCTCGTGGGCTGCCTGACCCGACCGATCCGACCATTCTTTGACCCATTACCCTTCACCTTCTCCTCCGCTTCCTCCGCTTCCTCCTCCTCCTCCTCCTCCTCCTCCTCTTCCTCCTTTGCGTTCGATGGCTGGCAGCGCGAGTATCCAATGATGCTATCGCTACTAGGGAACTTCCCCTTCTACTCTTCAGAGCGAAGTGGAGGATTTCACAAACATAATGTTGGCATCAACGAGTTTTCTACCAGTGGTTATTGAGAGGTTGTGCGCGTACTACATGTTCGAGGCCATGGCCTCCACGCCATGCCTGAATGGACACGGGCGGGCTCCACCACGGAGCGCGCACGACTTTGGCCCTCGCTTCTCTTCGCTTCCTCCCCATCTGTGCTCTTCCCGATGACTCCTCCTCGTTACATCACCAGGGGTGTCAGTAGGGCGGTCTGGGCAGTTCGCTTGAAAGCTGCTCGCGTATTGCGGCCTGAGAGTTTCCAGCGCATGAGCGGAAGCAGGCGGATGGTCTTCAGCATTCGAATCTCGCTTGACACGTCACCTCAACCCATCATCCCGAGTATTGAGAGTTCCAACCGTTATACTGGAGGAGCGCGGGTTCAAGCCTTCATAATGTTGGGGGGCGAGAGCTCTTGAACGTTTCAGGTTGCAGGACCGTGTGATTTGGGCGGGCCACTGGATCGTCACCATGCCACATTCCAGAGGTCTTAGAACACTGCCTTGCCCATTGGACCCGCTCTTTCCCAGCGGCCGCAGGCAGCGGTTAGGGGGTCAAATGCGAACCCTACCCCTACCCCCCACGATTTCTGAGGGGGAGGGTGGGGTTCATTCCATTCAGGAGCTCCCGAGCGAAGTGACCCCCCCCCCGCAGAAATCGGGGGAGGTAGGGGTAGGGTTCGCATGTGGCCCATTAGCGGTGAGAGGGGATGCCCTGCACTGCTTTGCAAAGGGAGGACCCGAGACTCGAGGCTGCCGTGCAAAAGCAGCAGCGACGTGTTGCCCTCTCCGGGGAACAAGCAAAGACATAAACTGACTACCTACCAGACCATCCCAACCCAACCCGAAGACCCGAATTTCGGGTTGGGGGGGTAAGGGTTCCACGCTTGTTTTTTCGATGTTTCCCGAACCCACCCCACTAGAAATCGAGGGTAAATCTGAGCCTTCGGGTCGGGTTGGGGTGGTTTGGTGGGTGCTGATAAACATAACAACTCGGAGGTCCGCGCGGATTCCTCGGCACGGCGCTGGGGCCCACTGGCGGCGCCTCCAGCGCCGCCCTTGGCGCGCTCCGCTCCCAGGGGGGGGGGGGGGGCGCCTCCAGCGCCGATCGGAGAAATCCGCGCTGACCTCAGACTTGTTATGTTTATGCAATGTCTTGTTCCCCTGCTGTTGCGACGAGAGGCTCCTGCAGCGCCCCTCTCCTGAATCCCAGGCTTGATCTGACACGATTTGGTGAAAGGGCACCTGAATCGGGCTGAATCGCCCTTGATCGTCAGACAAAGACCTCCCAGGAGTTGCCTTCTGATGTTGCGACGAGAGACTCCTGTAGCGCCCCCCCCTTCGTCTCTCCGCAGCCGCTCTCCTCTCCTCCTCGCACGTCCGAGACTCGAGGGCGTAGCGCCACAACAGGAGCGACGTGCGCTGGGCTTGCCTCCTCGCCTGCCGCGACAGGCTCTCATCAGAGCCCCCCTCTCCGCCCCTCCGCGGCCGCTCTCTTCTTTCTCCTGCACGCCCGGTGCCATCCGCTCTGGCCGCGGCCCGGCAAGGGGCCCGGCCGCGTCGCGGTCCGCCCACGTCGCCGCGGCAGAGGTTTGCGGAGACCCCTCGCGCAGGGATCGGGAGGGAAGAAACACACAGACACGATTAGTCGCCGATCCCCCAGAAAGTATGGGAAAATATGTATGGGAAGTGGGGGGGGGGAGGCAAGAGCCCCCGAAACTATGGGAACGTGTGCGGAATCATGCGATTTGTGTCGATTTCTTTGTGTGTGTGTCCCAGGGCCCCAGGAGGAGGAGGAGGAGGAGGAGGAGGAGGAGGAGGAGGAGGAGGAGGAGGAGGAGGAGGAGGAGGAGGAGGAGGAGGAGGAGGAGGAGGAGGAGGAGGAGGAGGGGGAGGAGGAGGAGGCTGAAGCTTCCCTCGATGCACTTCGCCCTCGCCGGTGGCCGGGCGATGTGCCACTGATCCGGCAGGAGCCGCCCCCCCCACGCGGTCTGCGCGCGGGGTTTCGGGGGGCGCGCGTCGGTGCCGGCCAGGTCTGGGGCCCCCCGGGGCAAGGGCGCCCTCGAGGGCGCGAAGTTATTCGCGCTTCGCGCTTCGCGGTTCGGCTCCGATTCCCCCTCATCCTCCTCTCTTCTCCTGGGAGGCGGCGCGAGAGCGCGAAGTTATTCGCACTTCGCACTTCGCGCAGCGCGAAGCGCGAAGTTGGGAGCCCTTGAAAAACACACACACACAGACAACTAATCGTGGATTCCCAGGAAAGTATGCGAACATATGGGAAGTGGGGGGGGGAGGCAAAAAGCCCAGGAGACATCGGAAAATACGGGGGATCCAGGTGTTTTTTGTGTCTTTGTTTGTGTGTCCCAGGGCCCCTTTCATCCTTGAGAACGCAAGCCCGCGCGCGTGTGCCGAGCTGTGGCGGGGCTGAAGCTTTCCTCGATGCGCTGCTCAGCATTGTCTGATCGACCCCTGTCCCCATCCCCATCCCCATCCAGACCCCCACCATCTCACCCCCCAGGCTTGGGATCTACCCCTCGAACCCCGAGAGGAACAGCCTACATTTCCATCTCGGGGGGTAAATCGGCCAGTGGGGCCCAGGCCACGCGCATGGGGATAGGGGTCGGTCAGACGATGCGCAGGGAGCAGGCGGGGCTGAAGCCTTCCTCGATCTGCTGCGCCCTCGCTGTGGCCAGGCGATGTGCAGTACAGTCTATATGCATATGCCCCTCGGCCGACAAATCACCTCTTGGAGCCCCCTTGGGCCGCTGTCGGAGCTCTCTTGGGCGCGCTTGGGGCCGTTCTGGGGCCTCGCTGTGCCCTCCTCGGGGCTCCGTTGGGCGATCGCTGGGCCAGGCACGCGCCCAGGCGGCGCCGCGTGGGTTCGCGGGGCAGGGCAGCGCGCAGGGAACCCTCAGGGAGCCCTGGAGAAGCCTCAGGAATCCCTGGAGGAATCCTCAGGAATTCCCAGGGAAATCCTCTGGAATTCCCAGGGGATCCTCGGGAATCCGTGGGGACTCCTCAGG